GGAAGGAGTAGTAGGGATATAAAGCAGAGGATAGCGTAAGGTCAAGGCGCCTTCAATAAACAGAAGTCACTTCTATGCTCGCAAACGGTTAATTTAGAAATTCGAAAAAGATTGTTAAAGGTGTATGTTTGGAGCGCGGCGCTATACGGGTGCGAAACATGGACGGTAGGCGTGGCAGAAAAGAAAAGAAGCCTTTGAAATGTGGTGTTGCATGAGAATGATGAGTATACCGTTGTTAAAGAAGGTTAGAAATGAAGAGGTATTAGAAAGAATAGGAGAACAGAGGACTCTATGGAAGTCAATAAGAGATAGACGAGATAGGTTGGTAGGCATGAAGGTCTAGTCAGAGACATATTAAAGGCAGAAACGGGAATTAAGAGGGGTAGAGATAGATTTAGATTAGATTACTGTTCGCGAATAGTTAAGGATGTAGGTTTTTCTAGTTTTGGGATTAGATTTGCTCAGAATAGGAAAGAGTTGAGGTGCGTGTTTAACCATTCTTAGGACTGACGACCTTATGACGATGATGACGGATAAACATCAGTTTCTATACAATTTGTTAATGCAGTCATTATCATCATTTTCAGCGTGAATGTATATCAGTTCATTGTGGCCAGGCTGGAATCCAAATTGGAAATGCATGCTGGGAACTGTATTGCCTAGAGCACGGCATTCAACCTGACGGTCATATGCCGTCAGACAAATGCGGAGGAGACGACAGTTTCAACACCTTCTTTTGCGAGACAGGAGCTGGAAAGCACGTTCCAAGAGCAGTATTCGTAGATCTGGAACCGACAGTAATCGATGAAGTCCGTACGGGAACATATCGTCAACTGTTTCATCCTGAACAACTCATATCTGGAAAGGAAGATGCTGCAAACAACTATGCTAGAGGACACTATTCTGTTGGAAAAGAAATGATTGATTTGGTGCTTGATCGTATTAGAAAATTATCAGATCAATGCACTGGCCTTCAGGGATTCCTCATTTTTCATTCATTTGGTGGCGGAACCGGATCTGGATTCACTTCTCTGTTGATGGAAAAGTTGTCAATTGATTTTGGAAAGAAGTCTAAATTGGAATTTGCCATTTATCCAGCACCCCAAATAGCCACAGCAGTTGTAGAACCCTACAATTCAATTCTAACGACACACACAACTCTGGAACATTCCGATGCTGCCTTCATGGTCGATAACGAAGCAATCTACGACATTTGCAGACGTAATTTGGACATCGACCGCCCGACGTACACAAATCTCAACAGACTAATTGGACAGATCGTATCATCAATAACAGCGTCTCTTCGTTTCGACGGTGCTCTCAACGTCGATCTGACAGAGTTTCAAACAAACCTGGTTCCCTATCCAAGAATTCATTTTCCTTTAGTAACCTATGCTCCTGTTATATCCTCAGAGAAAGCTTTCCACGAACAACTATCAGTAAACGATATTACAACCGCTTGTTTCGAGCCAGCCAACCAAATGGTCAAATGCGATCCGAGACACGGTAAATACATGGCCTGTTGCATGCTGTATCGAGGAGACGTGGTGCCGAAAGATGTCAATGCCGCAATCGGGATAATCAAGACCAAACGTACCATCCAATTCGTAGACTGGTGTCCAACTGGTTTCAAAGTGGGCATCAATTACCAACCACCCACAGTGGTACCAGGAGGAGATCTCGCGAAAGTACAACGTGCAGTTTGTATGCTGTCCAATACAACGGCCATTGCCGAAGCTTGGGCTCGCTTGGATCATAAATTCGATTTGATGTATGCCAAGCGTGCTTTTGTCCATTGGTATGTTGGAGAAGGAATGGAGGAAGGTGAGTTTTCTGAGGCTCGCGAGGACACAGCTGCGCTTGAGAGGGACTATGAGGAGGTAGGCATGGACTCCAATGATGGAGAGGCAGAATGTGCAGAAGAGTTTTAGGTTTAAGGGTCACCTAGCTCAAGTGCATGTGTCTTCTCCATCGTATGATAAATTATATGTATAATGATAACGTGTATTAGTAAAAATTATACGAGGTAGTGAATATAATTGTAAGTATATCATGAAGTGCATTTTCTTTACCATCTATTCTGTTTGTTTGAGACAAACATGTGAATATTAAGTTATTGTTTCAAAAATGAAAAAATTAAAAACAAATTGAGAATATTACAACCTGTGTAAAAGTATTCAGTGTTCAACTCTGAATCCGATGTTAGCTGATTGTAACAAGTTTGTGTGGATCAGTTAAAATAGAAGGAATACATTTAATATACTGATTATATCAAATATGCACTGAAGTTTGAGGTACTTAGTGTATCAAAATAAAAACGTAGCTATTTTCCAAAGGATAATACCTAGTTCCCTCACATATACCTTTTTCTAATTAGGGTTAAAATTTTCGGTATGTCGAATTCCCTCCTAATATACATGATTTGCTTCCCAACGGCAGCGGATGACCTTGAGTGCTAATTGCCACTATAAAGTCATAAAGAGTTGTTTAAATAATACAGCCTCACATCACATATTAATCTTAATATTATTCATATATTATAGACACCACAATAACAATAATAATTTTATCGGACTACCCTTCTATTGGTCAAATACAAGACAAACTAAAACTAATAAAGTTTTTCTGGATGATTGCATCAAAAAGCTAGACGCACACGAATTTCCAAACATTGAATTTGTTAAGGTAGTGGGAAACCATTTTAAAATTAAATAAATAAACATTTCATAATTGATATGTGTTTTCTTTCTGAAATTATTTTATCTTTAATTTACTGAAGTACTGAAGTGCACTATAAATGTATATTTATTTTCGATAAATAAAATCGGTAAGTAGTCGTTAACTTAATTATCGGAGTTGATATGAACGGGAGGGAACTCGGCTAGTACCCGGGAGGGAATTCGACTATCTACATTTTAACCAAAACTACCTGCGGGAGGGAATTCGGCATCACCATTATTGAACACATTTTCCATATTGCTATTAATGTTTTATCCTGCTGTATAAAAGCTCTAAATCATGATAGTTCAAGATTGGTGGATCGAAGTTATGAACATTGAAGCATTCTCAATACTTTTTTTAAGAATAAAACGATTGTGAAAAACATTTTCTTCTATTCACTTCGATTTAAATTATAAACTATTATAATAAATCTAATACGAACTTTATAAGGTTGACATCCGTTTAATTGAAATAATGCATTCACTAAGTTTACAATTTGTATAATTTATATGTAAAAAATATAGCACATTGTGAAGTATAACTGGACAAGAAAACTCCTGAATTTCGAAGAAATAAATAACGTAACAAAAGCTTGGAGTAAAATGTAGCGTAACGAAGTTATAGCTCCAATAAAAGTCTTTTGTTTCTGCAAATACAGCAGTTTTAACCCCTGACATTGTACATATAGATATAATGTAGCTAGGGATTTACCAGATACAATGTTGCTACAAACTAAAGTAAAAGTTCCCCACGATTTCCGTTCGTACGGTCTGAAGTTCGAGTATCATTCAATCTGAAATTTAGTTAACAGAGAGAAACTAGAAATCAAAAAGGAAAACTCGAAAAGCGAAGGATTGTTTCATAGAATTTAAACCTTTATTTGAAGAAAAGGAAAACAAAAACAATATGTTAGCAAACTTTGTGCAATTAAATGCTTTCACAAATGAAAATTAATAAAACAAGTAGAAAACAGGGAAAACCATGGATTATAATAACGGAAATTTTTATTTCCTTTCCTTTATTCGTACTATATAATTCATTTTAAAAAGTTGGAGGATCGCTATAATCAGTGTATCACCCTTGAAGAGAATTATGTTGAATAAAAAAAACGAATTTTGCAAAAAAAAATGTGTTTTACTATTTTAGGCCGGGGACTTTTCAATTGACCTGTTAGAACATCTCATCCTTGACTAGATAGTAATTTAACCTAAATCTACTTCTACCCCATTTTAACTATTGTTTCTGTTTTCAGTATGTCAATAACCAACCCTTCAGACACATAACACATACAGAAATGTACAATGTAGGGTTAAAACTGTTTACCATAAGATTCATGTGATTATGTCACTTCCAAAAGATGTCGGTATCTTAGACGTTGTGCATATTCAAAATACGGAGTTCGGTTGGAGGTTTTGGCGCGAGTAGAACGAAAATAACTGCTCGAGTCTTTTGATGAATAAAAAGTTGTGGTTTGACAAAACTGCGCGAGTTTATCGATCTGGCTCTTACAAGAGAGCGTGCAAGTAACTCCACGGAGTTTTTTGCTATTAAAAGTGAGGTATAAAAAATAATAAAAAACCTAACCTCACTTTTAGTTTTCCTTCAACAACCCCCCGGTTTTTACCGGGCGGATCAAGCAACCAAGATGAATGGAAATGAACAGAAGGATGCATCTGCCCACGAGGTTTACCCTGCTGGTGCCCATGGACCTTACGGTGTGTGGGTTCGAAACATCATCCGATCAGACAAACCGTTCGACATCTTCAAAATTGGTAAACTCATATTTGACCAATACAAATCAGTTAAAGAAGTTAAAAAAGATGGCCGTTATCAAGGAGTGATCGTTTTTGAAAACAGAGACGAAGCTAACCTAGTCTTGAAAAACTCCGTCTTTACAGAAAATGGAATGAGGACATTCATACCAGGATTCAGGATGCAGAGAAAAGGCGTTTTGAGAGGCATTCCAGTCGACATTGATATGGAAGAATTGAAAAAGGGTATCGTTGCCTCGGCAAAAGTAAACACAGTGATAAGACTCAACAGAAAAAACAGAAACGCAACTTCGGAAGAAAACAGATGGATTCCAACGACATCGGTCCTAGTCATTTTCGACGGTGATCAGCTTCCATCTGAGGTTTCTTTCTTTTATGTGAAATTGAAAGTTGAACCATTTATCAATAATCCTCGTCTGTGTTTCAAGTGTTTTCTGTTTGGACACCTGGCCAAGAAATGTCCCAACGATAAACACTGCTCTATGTCCGGAGAAAAGGAACATGACGGCGAGTGTGAGGGCATCACACCTCGTTGTCGCAACTGCAAAGGATCTTACAAGTCAATCGACAGCAATTGTAAGATCTATCAAGGGAATCGCGAAGTTAACAGAATGATGGCACTGGACAATATCCCATTTTCCGAAGCGTATAAAAAGGTGTTCAACAACAACCCACCCCCGATGAGGACAAGGACGCAATTTCCATCCCTGCTAGCTAAACGATCAGGAAACACCTCGACGTTCAGCCAAGTAGTTGAACAAAACCTCAAGAACATCCGGGAAAAAACTGTGAATACATCAGAAGATAAAGTGAAAAATGCAAGCAGCAAGAGCAACGACGACAAAGTTGAGATGACATCAAAGGAGCCCGATTTCGTTGAATCTCAGTCAGCGGATAGTCAACAGATGGAAACAGAGTCGCAGAGTATCAAACGCCACACCGGAGAAAATGACAACGAAGAAGAAAGCGCGAGGAAGAAAAGGGCGCCACAGTCACAGTCACAGTCACAGTCACCTGTACTGCCGTCCCCTTCCCAGCTTCAACTGTCAAACATCACAAACAAACTGTCAAACAAATTAAAAAATGAACGACCTCTTAAGATTTACTCAGGTAAAAACAAAAACAAAAATAAACATTAGTTTATTACAGTTCTAGTTCAAACTTAACTTACAGATATTTCTTTTTTTTTCTTTTTATTTCTTTTTATGGATTCTAACGATAATTCAAATGAAAATTGTACTGAAAACAAAAACTTGAATCTTTTGCAATGGAACTGTCGCGGAATTAAAAACAAAATAATAGACTTATGTACTATTTCTGACAAATATGATACTATAATGTTAATTGAAACTATGTTGAAAACAGAAGACGAATTTAAATTAAAAGGTTTTAATGTAGCGAGATTTGATAGAATCGATGAGCCACATGGCGGCATAGCAATTTGTGTGCGAGAAGGGTTAATCTTTGATAAAGTTAATCTTGATATAAATAACAATTGTTTGGAATGCGGGTCAATACAAATTGAATCCAATTTCGGTAGCATTTTGTTGACAACTTGTTATAGAAAGCCGTATAATAGAAACAACATTAGAAAAAGAGATTGGGACGAATTTACAAATAAAATTAAACCCGACTCATGTTACTTTGACAAATAATAGTTGTAGCTATTCTAATATTGACCTATCTTTTGTGTCACCTGATTTAGCATTGTTGAGTGATTGGCAAGTGGAAGATGACGCTATAGGCAGCGATCATTTTCCTATTTCCATTCAAATCAACGTATCTCCATGTTATCAAACGAGAATTCAGTATAAATATAATTTGAAAAAATTTGATTGGGATGTCTACCTTAAATTATTAGATGAAAACAAAACTTTTTTCAATAGCATACAATATTTAAATTTAGATGTAATTTCCAGATATAACCTTTTCATTAACTTTTTACATGAATCAATTAACACTGTTATTCTTAACCAAACTTGCAATAGTAAAAATTTAAATGACAACAATAACTTATTAGAGAACACAAGATATAAAGTTAAGTCGGTAAAATCAAAAATTAATCCCTGCGCTGTCTGGTGGAATGAGAAATGCACTAAAGCCAAAAGATTACGCACAGCTGCGTACAAATCGTTAAAACACAGATATACTAGAGATCAATTTTTTGGACTCAAAAAAACTGTTGCTATAACTAAAAAAACATTGAGAGAAGAAAAAAAGCAATCTTTTGTCAAATTTAGCGAAACAATCTCACCAAAAAGTGACTTAACATATGTGTGGAGAAAAATTAGACTATTTCAGAATAGTTTTAATAAAAATAACATTTTAGATGGTAACAAAAAAATGGAAAAAAGTATTAATGATTGTATAGAAAAATTAACAAGTGGTTACACATGTAATGATTCAAACTTGAGAAAAGTCGAGGATATAAACGAGGATGTGGACTCCAATTTTTTGGATTGTCCCTTTTCGTTTGCAGAACTAGAATTTGCAATTAAATCAATAAATATGAAATCTGCTCCAGGTATTGATAAAATAAACTACGAAATAATTTCCAAACTCCC